TGGCCCGTGTTTGTTATCCCCCTCAATCTCCCCCCCTGGCATATGCTTTCAACCACAGAACGTATTCTTGTCGTTGATAATTCCTGGACACCCAAAGAATAATATGGGTGTGTTCATGGAGCCTGTGATTGATGAATTGGTCCGTGCTTGGGAGGAAGGGGTATGGACATACGACCGAGCTACAAAGAAAAACTTCAAAATGCATGTTTGGTACCACTACTCCCTGCAAGACTTCCTAGCGTATGGGATATTCTGTGCCTTGGTGTGTTCACGGGAAATTTCCATGCCCAGTATGCAAGGAAGGTCTGAGGTTCATTTGGTTGCAGAAGGGTGGCAAGTATTCATCGTTCGACAAACATCGGCAATTCCTCCCTCTTGACCATGCATTCAGACGAGACATCAAGAACTTTACGAAAGGTGTCGTAGTGATAGACTCTACACCACCGATAATGACTGGTGCCGTGGTTCATGAACAGATAGATGGTCTCATGGTCAATCTAGAAGGTGGTTTTGTGGGATATGGAGAGCAACATATGTGGACTCATAAGTCGGCCTTGACATGGCTCCCCTATTTTGATGACCTTCTCCTTCCACACAACATTGATGTAATGCACACTAAAAAAATGTCGCCGAGGTACTTTGGGCAACAATCATGGACATTCCTGACAAGTCAAAGGACAATGTTAAGGCTAGAGTGGATCTGGCAACGTTATGCAATAGACCAAACCAACATATGAAGCCTCCTAGTCGCGGCAAGACATGGAGAAGGCCTAAGGCCGATTTTGTCTTGAGCAAGCCTCAAAGGAAGGAAGTACTAGAATAGATCCAGACGTTAATGTTCCCTAATGGGTATGCAGCTAATCTGAGGAGGGGAGTGAACTTATCTACTATGCGAGTCTTAGGGATGAAGAGTCATGACTACCACATATGGATGGAGCGGCTTCTTCCGGCGATGGTTCAAGGCTATGTCCCTGAGCATGTCTGGCTAGTGCTGGCAGAGTTGAGCTATTTCTTTGGCCAGCTTTGTGCCAAGGAGTTATCTCGGACCGTGATTGCTGACTTGAAAAGAATGGCACATGTGTTGCTCTGTAAGTTGGAGAAGATCTTTCCACCCAGCTTCTTCAATCCGATGCAGCATTTGATTTTGCACCTCCCGTATGAGGCACGAATGGGGGGCCCGTGCAGGGCCGTTGGTGCTATCCAATCGAGAGATGTCTAAAGGTTCTTCGAAAGAAATGTAGAAATAAATGCAAAATCGAGGCTTCCATTGCAGAGGCATACATTCTGGAGGAGGTGGCGAACTTCACAACAACATACTATGGTGACAACCTCCCTAGCGTGCATAATCCACCCCTCGTTACAATGCTAGGTGAAAATGAATCGAACCTCAGCCTTTTCCGAGGGCAACTCAGAAGCGCAAGTGCATCGACCCCCAAGACCTTGAATCATGAAGAGTGGCGCCATATCATGCTATACGTGTTGACCAACCTTGACAAAGTGGCGCCGTACATGCAGTAAGTTCTCAACGAACTTGTTAAATACGTCGTCACTATTCTGCATCTAACCCCCTTGTTTCTCGTTGGTGCAGGGAATTTCTTCATGAATTCTGGCGTCAATCAAGGGATCCTACCCTGCAGCAGGTAGATACCCTTCTTAGACAGGGTGTAGGAAATGGAATGCCCGATTTCATTTCTTGGTTCAAACGGAAGGTACCGTCCAATTTAGCTCGTACTTAGTTTGACATTCCAAGTTACTCGTACGTGCGAATAATATAATGATGTATCCTGCTTGAGCTTGCAGGGCCAGAGGGATGCGTCTATGCGTGCCGAGTTGAGATAGGTTGCCGATGGCTTTGCCTATAGGGTCAGGTCATTTTCTGGTTATGACATGAATGGATATCGCTTTCGCACAACAAGCTACGAGCAAAGTCGGCCCAATCGAAAAACCACAAGTTCCGGAGTTTTTACACCCGGCGTTGATGAGGTCGAGTATTATGAAAGAATTGAAGAAATATACGAACTCAAGTTTCATGGTTCCAAACCTTTTAATCCCATCATATTCAAATGTCATTGGTTTGATCCTGAAGTAACGAGACGGACATATTCTAATCTTGGGCTAGCCGAAATTCGACAGGATTCCGTCTTACCAGGAGACGATGTCTATATTGTGGCCCAACAGGCCATGCAAGTTTATTATCTCCCATATGTGTGTCAAACCAAAAGTCATCTTAAGGGTTAGGATATTGTGCACAGGGTATCGCCACACGGTAAAGTGCCTGTCCCAAATGATGTAGATTACAACTTAGACCCAAACACATATGATGGAGAGTTCTTTCAAAAAGAGGGACTAGAAGGGAGGTTTGAGATAGACTTAACCGAAGCGATCGGAATGGAAGTAGATAATGAAACGGTTATTGAAGAGGACGCTGGAGATGAGGTGCAAAATGTGAAGGACTTACAAATGCTTGCGCGATTACATTTAGACAATGACAATGGCAACATTGCTCATTCGGATAGTGTTGATTATTTCGACATGATTGATAGTGATAATGAGACTTATGATCTAGCTAATCCCGATCATGAAGATTATTTCTAATCCATGTAATACTATGTTATTTTGTAAATACGTTTTGTTTATTTTGCATCTCTTTCTAAGTACTTCTTGTTTATCTGTGCATATTGGTTTACTCTTTTTAATTGCAGGTGATTGAACAAAGATGGTGGGCGGTGGGATGAGGAAGCTAGGTGATGATACTTGTGGTTGTTAATGGTACTTCTATTTGCAATTGTGGTTGTAGATGATGGAGCACTTGGATTACTTGTCAACTTATTTGTGATATATTATGAGACATGTGACGTTTGTGATATATATGTGGTGTTGGATATCTGTGTTGTTGATGATATATATGTGATGTTGGTTATATATATCTTCTGTTTGTTTGGATGGAATGTAAAAAACAAATAAAAAAGACAATTTTCAGTCACTTTGCCGAGTGCAATGGCCATGACACTCGGCAAAGTGACGACGTGGGACCATGCCTGGGAACATGCTTTGCCGAGTGCACAGGCCATTGCACTCGGCAAAGATCATAGATTTGTCGAGTGCCACGGGCCAGGCACTCGGCAAAGGTCGCCTGTTTGCCAAGTGTCTTGCCGGTGGCACTCAGCAAAGTAGCCACCTTTGCCGAGTGTTTGAATCAATGGCGCTCGGCAAAGAGGCGACCTTTGCCGAGTGCTTGACCTTGACACTCGGCAAAGCCGCCGTCACGGTGGCGCTCGCCGTCACGGCGACTTTTCTTTGCCGAGTGTCAGATTAGCACTCGGCAAAGGCTTTGCTGAGTGCCCGATAAAGTGCACTCGGCAAAAGGTCTTTGCCGATCAATTGTTTACCGAGCGCCCTTTGCCGAGTGTAACACGCGCTTTGCCGAAACCACGGGCCAGGCACTCGGCAAAGAAGCTGCCTCCGGTAGTGTTGCCGAGTGTTTTCTTTTAAGCACTCGACAAAGTTGGGTTTTGCCGAATGCTATCTGTTTGCCAAGTGTTGAATTCAAAACACGCGGTAAATAGGATATTTGCTGAGTGCCCGATGGAATACACTCGGTAAACCCTCAGGCACTCGGCAATTATACTGTTTCCGGTAGTGAATGCTTTTAACATAACCGGTCTATGCAGTTAAACCAATAAATCTAGGCAACCCAACAACAATCATAGGCTCCAGCACACCGCGTCCAGTTAACCTCCTCCCAAGAAATTTCCAACTGCCACATTCGTCAAGCAACACCTTCATAGGGTGGACAAAGGGGACAAGCACAAAATCAATTCACCAAGATTTCAAGAACAAGGGTGCATCATCCTTGAAGATTAGAGATCATCCCACCTGAATCGCCAGCAACATTTTCCTCAAGTGCCTTTGAACAAGCTTTCACAACATTTCTCTCAGGGCTCATTTGGATCCTTTCATTTGGAGGAATTAAAATCTACTTAATAAATTAAGCTATTTGACTTGAAATTTGACATTCCACCACTTTCTAAAGTTCACATATAGCCTATCTCAAATGCATAGGGTACGACAAAGAAATTGATTCTCTAGATCACCATTCTATATTTCTACTTTACAACTTATAACACGCTCTTCAACTCGCTCCCCTACTGTAGAAATGCAACACATAAGTATCTCTCTCATATAGCTAATAATAATATGCAAATGTAATCCATATACAACATTAATATACGTCTAAATTATGATTATTAAAATGAATTCAATTCAAGGATCCGAACAGGTCCTCAGCGGTTATCAGATTCGGTGTGCTATTCACCATAACGAAAATATGTACACCATCGACATTGAAATCAATATGACATCACTATTGTAACTGTCCACTAAGGGATATATTTGTCACGTTATTGATTGACTCAACTCCGAAGAACCATAGTGAATCTTGGAGCCATTTGATCACCTCAGTTCTTCCTTGCTTCCAAGGTGTTAGGCAGCAATCGATATGAAAGAAACCGTAGGGGCCTATTTATAATAACCAGAAGCAATGGGAAGCTTGAAACAGTGGTGAAGAATCGAGTAATCAGGGACAAGTGAATCTAATGGTAGGTATGACACTGTCGGATCAATCTACAATCAGACAGTGAAATCATTTTGTTGTTGTCGGGTCAAGCCACAACCAAGCATTAGCATATCACTACCGGACGGTCGTTGTGGCTTGCCCTGGTAGTGATATATCATTGCCGGGTCATAGCTTAATCCGACAGTGAGAGGACTTTACTGACAGGTCAATAGAATCCTAATGATTGTTCGGATCCAAGGTTTACTTCCCGTCAATGAAACTAGCTCACTATCGGCTCTGGCACACCTAGCATTGATGGACTGGTAGGGATGGTATGTTCAGTGATAACAGATAGATTGAACATAATAGGCATGGATTTTATGTGTACATGGATGGCCATACTTGTAGACTCTTTTAGAAGTCGCCCTATAACTACTAATTTAATTTACCATTCGTCTCTACGCTTAGACTCAATGTGGAAGTGCCAGGACAGCCTCTTTGACCTCATGTATTTGGCTACAAGAGCAGCGACGGTAAGGATCTCACCGCCGCTGCTGAGCTGCTTTGCATGAGAATTGGCGCTGCATTCGTCCGCAACGCTGCACAGCATCTGCGCCCACACCCTGCAGATCATCTCCAGCGTGCCGGTGCCAGTGCCCGTGCCCGTGCCCGTGCTAGTGCCACCAACAGGCGAGGAGTCTTGGTGGTGGATGAGGAACGCAGCAAGCGAGCATCCTCCCGTCAACACCCTGTATCCACGACTATTAGTATCCTTGCACCGCAGTTCATACTCAGGCGCGGAGTTATTAGCCCACAACGCATCTGCAAAGCGCTGCAGCAAGGAGAGCAGATCCTCGGCTGTGCTGTATCTCTCGTGACTGGTAAGAGCATAGCACACCACGAGATAGTCGTTGCGGCTGGCATCAGGAGGCAGCATGTGGGGACGCGACGCGAGCAGGAAGAGCATGTAATTGGACAGCGCCTGAGCCACGTCGACGAGGTCAGCAGCACCGGCGGGCGGGTGATCCTTATCGTTGAACCAGCACAGGTAGAGCTCGGTGGCGACATGCCAGACGAGGATCCGCACCTCCAACTTGGAATCGGCAACCCAATCCAAGTCCAGTTCCCGGCCGTACAGTCCAATGCTCTCGAACTGCTCCCGACCCCATGGCCTCGCCTTCATGCTCTTGAGCAGCAGCTTCTTGACGCACGCCGAGACTGGGACGGATGGGCCGGAGTAAGCCAGCGTGTTCCACCAGTCCTCCACGCCCATCCATCTAGCCACCTTGCTGTATCGGCTGGCCCTGCTGCGCACGCACAGCTGAACCAGGCTGAGCTGCCCCATGGAGCGCGACCAGCTGCGCCTCCTCCTCCACTCCGCCGCACGCACCAGCCGGCGGAGGTACACGGGTACCTGGGCTAGGGAGTTACACACCGCGCTCCCTTCCGATCCGTGCTTGACAAGGAGAGCACATGTCCAGCTCGAGAACACGGCCCTCACGAGCGACGCAGCCTCCAGGACGACGGCGCCGACGAAGAGGACGTAGGTAACGGCCACATCTCCTCTGCTGTAGGCTTCCAGCTTACGGCGATGATCGCCCAGCAGCAGCACGTTGAACAGCACGAACGCGGCAACGGCGGCTAGAAACGACAGCACGCGGACGCAGAGGCCGTACCAAGTGTGCGTGGCCTCGGCCTTGGTGTAGAAGACGTCGTGCAGGAGCGAGAGCTGCATCTCGGCCACCCTGTACAGCTCCTCCTCCCCGTGCAGCTGCGATTCTTGGCTGCCGGGGCCACACAGAAACAGACGGGGTAATGGACCCTTGAACCTGTCCTTGGCGAGATCCAGCAGCAGGTGAGCATGTAGGAGGTAGGCTTCCGCGGGATCCAAGTGGCTCATGAAAGAATCCGGCACCGCCAGAGAAAACCTTCTCTTCCCGATGTCGCTGTTGTAGTTCCCAGTCGGGCTAGTGCCGGCGCACCTGAGCGCCCACACTCGCTCCCCGTACTTGACGACACCAACGACGGACATGGTGACGGTGGCCGCGAGGAGCAAGGGGACCCGGCTCACGCCGACGATGACGGAGGACCCGTAGATGACGTAGGCGGCAGCGGCCACCTGAAGGACGAGCGTCTGCAGGTGGCGCAGCCACAGCTGGTTGTCCTCGATGGCGTAGGCTGTGATCTTGTCCTGCCCACCGAGGTGCAGCAGTAGAAACGGCGCCCAGAGCGCCACCAGCTCGTGCTCTGGCGACCTGCTGGTCACGGACAGGTGGCCAAGCACGTAGATCGCCGTCGTGTCGGCCGCCATGTACGCGGACCATACCACGGCCCTCAGCACGCCGGAGTCAATGTGCCGCCGGAACTCTGCCAAGATGTGGAGTGTCACCTGCACCGTTAAGCTGAGCAGCACCAGCGCTTGCAGACCCCAGTCTTTCCATGCGGCCGTCAGGACCTCCGCTGCAGCCATCGACTTGTCTTCTCTACTTTATAGCAGAGCCGCTGCTGACAATGGATCGGAACGGATTCACCAATCAATTCACACAAACCAAAATTAATTACATAATCTTTTTATTTATTTTATTAGCACTATGAAACTACACTCGACCAGAATAACCACAGCTGAGGGCATGTGTTTACGTCTTGCTGACAACTCTGTGTGGCATGTTCCGCGTTGTTCCTTTAATTCTGTTTGTCCTCATCTTTGTTAAGCAGAGGTCATCAGTAAACCTTTCTGAGGTTATGTAGCGGTAGCATGGCATTTTTTTTAGTAAGATCGAAACGATCTGACATTTGTTTTTTGAGTGTCATGCACAAGCTTCTTTTGTCATGCTCATGCCCCTATATTTTGTGTTTGGACTCAAACCACGTTTAAAATAGGATACCCACCACTTATATTTAATAATTCGTCACCAGTAATCATTAACATTGATAGCCATCAGATATGCTTCTGTTTTATTTTTAAAAAAATTATCATCCTCGACCATATAGAAATAGTCTGAAGTCAGCCTCTTAGAGAGTAAAGTCTGATTTGCCCCAATGAATATGTCGTTAAATTTTAAAAAATATCTTCGAACTCGAATATCGGATAACTTATCATTGTAACTTTTAAAACCGAATAAATTACTCCTCTAAAATAGTTTCGAGTGGTTCCAATAGTGGTTTTGGATGATGTCACATGTGGGCCTATATATCTTTGGTTTTTTTGTCATGTCATGTTTTTATTAGATATTTGGGATCCTAAATAATCTCAAATGAAAAAAAATTAAACTAGAAAGTTCTAAATCTCTTCAAGCATTACAAATATGGTATATGGCATGTTTCCATAAGAAGTCGTCTAAAAATTTCAAAAATTTGAATTCCATAATTATAGAACTTAAAACAAATATTTGAGCATCTAACCGATTTTGAATAAAAAGATTTTCAACCAAATGAGATCTATAACTTTTATATAGACCATGTCACTGTCTGCATCATTTCAAAATTTTAGAAAATGTATTTTGAAATGTGAAAAATTAAAATGACTATTTGAGCCTCTAAGTGATCTCATATAAAGATGTGTCAACTACACTGTTGTAGATAGCATTTAGAGCTACAACTTTAGTATAGACCTTGTCAACATCCAAAGACATTTGAAAAAAATAAAAATAATTTCAAAATCTGAGAACTTAAAATGGGTATTTGAGACTCTAAACAATTTCAGATAAATAAGTTGTCCACGACAGTTGTAGATTGTGTTTAGAGCTACAATTATGGTATAGACCATGTCAACATCCAAAGTCGTTAGAAAAAACTGAAATTTCAAAATCTGAGAACATAAAAATAAATATTTGAGCCTCTTAATTATATAATATAAAAAAGTTATCAACAACAAAATGTAGATCTCATCGAGATATACTCCCTCCGTCCAAATATATAAGGCGTAACCACTTATTATTCAAGTCTCATAATATAAGGGCACCCGCAATGGTGACTCATAAGCTAGTTCTAAGCATTTTTTTTCATCATATTTAATAGAAGAGAGAAAAAACTAACTCTGGACAAGAGCTAGGCTCATCCACATATTTTAAGAACATGTAAGAGTGTTGTGTAGGTCAAATAATACTATAAGCCATTGCTAAAAGCTAACACTATTGAAGAGATTGGCTTAGAGCTAACACCTGACTCTTACTTGCGGGTGCCCTAGAAGCGCGCACATCAATGTAGTCATACGTATTGAGAGAGAGAATTAAATACGTTCCTTGGACTTTGAACCAGAGCCGGTTACGCCTTATATACTAGATGGAGAGAGTACAACTTTGGTACTAACCACCATATTATCATCCTATATCGTTTGAAAATTCAAAATTTTGAATTTTAAAATCTAATAACTTAAAACAAATATTGGAGTACCTTAAATATATCATATAAAAAAGCTGTCGACTACAAAGTTGTAGATCGTATCTAGTTATATAATTTTTATATAAAATTAGTATTTATCCAACTTTGTTTGAGAATTAGGATTTTTTAGTATAACAGAAGGGGAGAAACCATCTAACATAACATGTCCTCCACAGCGTCAGCAAAATCACCCAAGAAACCATTTTAAAATGATTAAGGGGGTAGTTTATCTGGTTTTAAAAGTTAAGGGTTGCCTCTATAGAAAGTAACCTAAAGAAACACTTTTAACTGCAAAAAAAAGGAGAGAGAAAAAAGACAACCATGCCGCCCTATATCCTAAGCTGTCTGGTGTTCCAAAGAGGGTCCTTGATTAAAGTCTACTTTGGCTTGCGCAGACGTACCACCATCTGCCCCTAGCTCCATTGTGGGGAGATACGAGATAGGTTCATTATTGAAAGCCAGTTTTTTTTTATTTTAACTATTGAAAGCCAGTCGAGCTTCAGCTCCACGGCCCCCTGCTCCACCAGTCCAATGTATGCATGCTTGAACTTTGGCCGACAGGGTATACATGATCCAAAAATCTTGTCTGGACATCCATCAGACACATCTACATCCGCGGTCAAACAAGTCTAGTCCAGTGCAATCCAAGAAGAAAAGTTCCAATTGAGCTTTGGACAATCACGTCCAGTCTCACGTCTACTTGCAAGGGCGGGGGAGTAACTAGTACTGGCACTGGAGCCGCTGAGGAGAGGGCAAACCTAGCTGATGCGTGCTCAACGACTCCATGTAGTATGACGCATTAAGAGGCAATAGAGATTCAACGATGAGGCACGACAGACATTCAACAATGACGCGTTAAAGAAGGGCAGAGGCGATAGTTGAGGATACTATTTCCTCTGTCGACAGAAAAATGCAACTTACGAGATCTGTGCCGGTCAAATTAACTAAACTTTGATCAAATTTATAGTAAATTGTATATTTATTTAGGGCGCGACTAACCTGCACAGCTGCACGCTCCTCTTCTTCCTCCCGCCTGCTCGCTACTGTGCTTCTTCTTCCTCCCGCGGTCCCACCGCGCCGCCGTTGGCAAGCTAGGGTTTCGCCAGAGCTCTACGGTCGCGGAGCTCCGGCGAAACCCTAGCTTGCTCATAGCGCCACCTTCTCCCCCTCTCCCCCCCTCCACCGCCGCTAGGGCCCCTAAACCACCCGCCGGCCTCCCCACTATCTGGTCGGCATTCCTCCTCCAAACCCCTTCCCTTCTAAGGCCGCCGAAGTTTGGGAAGAAGGGGTGGCGTGGGCGTGGGCACGGAGGAGGAGGAGGACGTACCTCGCCAGAGCTGCATTCGTCGCCACCGTCATCGTCGGAACCCTAATTGTGGGGAAGAGGTGGGGCGCGGGCGCGGGCACGGGAAGGAAGTCGCCGGGGAGAGAACGCGCCGAGGAGGAGCTCGCTGGGCGCCGGAGAGAGAGAGAGAGAGAGAGAGAGAGAGAGAGAGAGAGAGAGAGAGAGAGAGAGAGAGTGCGGTGCAGGCGTGCGGTGCCGTTTTAAAGTCTTTGACAAGTATTTATGTCTTCAAATAAATTTATTATAAAAAATATGCTCTAAAACTAATTTAATGATACTTATTTTGTATTCAAAATGTCATTACTTTTTTTATATAAACCCAGTCAAAGTTCAAACTTTTTGAATCCTCGAAAATCGAGTATTGCATTCTTCTGTGAACCGAGGGAGTAGTCAATTACAAATAATTGGTGACAGTAAGGCCTATTGATCTAGGCAAAATATTCACTGCAAACCACATCTTCGGTGCAATCGTGAAAACCCTTTGCAAAACTATAATTAGGAGTTTTCAAAAAATTTGAAACTATGCACACCAATAGTGGATCTGTAGATGTGCGCTGTCACAAAATTTGAGATTCAAACTCATTTTGAAAAAATTCATATGAAAATAACAAATTTCATGAATTTTGTCCTCTAGTGCATATGCAAATCAAATTTTTTATTTTCATATGAATTCTTACAAAATGAGTTTGAATCTCAAAATTTGTCACAATGCATGTCTATTGATGCACTATTGGTATGCATAGTTTCAATTTTTTTTTGAAAACTCCTAAGTATGGCTTTAATGGGGTTTTCACGGATTGCACTGAAGATTTTGCCATTGATCTATGCTGTTGGAGCATCTCCAGTAGATCATCTTTATAAATAATAAAAAAAAACTGTACTAGGTCTGTTAGTGCTATTTGGGTGCTCTAGTGGTTCTCAACAAATAGCATCCCATATTATCGTTGGTAACTAATAATCCATCCTAGCTCTGTCCAAACAAAGAGAATCATCCACCTCCAAGGCTCCAACAAATTCGTGCTACAATGTAGTTTCTATCTGTGTTGCCTTCCCGTCCACGCTACCGCCGGCGTCGGACTTCGGCGCCGCAGCCACCTCTAGCCGCGCGCGTACGCTGGATTTGGCAACCACGCCGCGCGGATGACGCTGCCGCCACCCATGAGGCCATCGCTAGCTCGCGGATTTGAGCGCCGCCGCAATCAATTCGCTCGCCTGCCGTTCGAGGGATTCACCTCTTGGCTATCGCCATCCCTAGCTCGCGGCCGTCGCCGCCGCCAGCAAGTGAACGGGCGAGTTGAGCAAGATGGGGACTTGTGGGATCGAGCCCGATAGATGCCGTTTTCTTTTCCAGGCCATGGAGACGATTTTTATTTTCCAGTGGTTTTGGCCCAAACGGCCTGTAAAATTAGTGTATTAACTGTTAACTGGTCATCCAAACAACAACTTTAGATTTGGGTTGGAAAAAGTAACAAGCCTGTAATTTACAGGTGTTTTAGTCTAAATACTCGGCCTCCAAACAGACCTTATGGATAAATCCTGTCTCCGTCGCTGAGGACGAAGGTTGTTTAATTTTGGTTTGCGGGTAGCCCGGACAGATCCCACTCCACACTTCCAGAGAAGCTTGTTTTCTTTTCTTTTTCTTTTTCTTTTTCTTTTTCTTTTTCTTTTCTTTTTCCTTTTCTTTTCTTCTTCCTTTTCTTTTTGACGAGAGTTAGTCAGGAAAGGGGAATGTTTCGCTTGGTTAG